CATTGTTTAATTGATATAAATTTTTTGGTGGTTGAGGAGGAATGATAAAATTCACTTGAATCAGTGTCTTCGCTTGACAAATCATGAGAATTATTATTACCACAAGAGCTAGATGATTCTAATTCTCTGCAGGTTAAAAAACATCCATTGATTCTACTTGCAGGCCAACTTTTACCATCAGTCCAACGTCTCATAATAATAACAAATTCTCTTTCATCCCATACGAACACAGAACCGGAACGAATAGAAGAATATTCCTTACCGCTTAACCTTTCATTGTATATGAGATAAAAAACCAACATGACAAACTTTTGGTAAATTTTGATCGATCACCCCTGAGGAGTAAACTTTGATCAGCAGATTTGTGAATCAAAAATTTTAAAGTTTTGCTATAAATAGTAATAACTCGAACTATTTTTCAAAAATGGAAATGTCACGTATATACGTCACGTAAAAAAACCTTAATTTTGTTTATTAACTTATTATTATTAACTTATTATCAACTATGAGAAGTTACAATTATTCATTAAAAAAATTTTTATTTGAAATTTACATCATTATTGTAATAATTTTCTTTACGCTTATTCCAATTGTAATTTCGGGGCAACAAAAAACTCCATATTTTGATCCAAACATTCAATCATGTGTAGAATGTCAAAAAAATTATTCTACAATAGACTCATGTACGAAATCAAATGAAATATTCAAAAATTTTAGTAGTGTCTTATACGATCCCCTGGAATTTGTCGAAGCTGCAAAGTGTGCATGTCTTGATACATTTCTAAAAGTTTATCCATTATGTGTGGAATGTTTTCAAGCTACAAATCAACAGAACACCACATTGAATACTGATGGAACGCCACCTTCAATTGAATATATTAGAGATGCTTGTGCAGCTGTTGCTTCCATCACAAGCAATTCCAGTACAACTATTGTTGCTCATCCCTCGACCACTACTGGACCTTTTGGTTATCGACCAACAACAAGTGGAGTGAAGGATATTATTGTTAATGTTGGTAGTAATGGATTATGGGTTAATACTTTTATTATATTTATTACTGTTATAACATTAATGTTACAGAATGGTTGTATGTAAAGGAAAAAACTTCATCCATTTGATTAATTTATTATTTTCCAACATATTCATCATCTACTTGTATTTATATTCATTATTTATCTAATTTATTTGTATTTATGTAATTTTAAATAGTAAGGAATGATAATAAAATTTTTTCTTTCAACGTGAGTATTAAAAATATTATTTTATATGAAATGAGTCATACAGTAACTATATAATATATATATATATATATAAGATTAATTAATAACAATGACAAAAGTGATATGCTTATATTTATTTATTGAATAATCTTTTTTGGTAAAGATGACTTTCAAACCCAGTGTCATTCTTATATCTTCTGAATGCTTCTCTCAAGTGTACTGGCGTTAATGCTCCAACTTCACCCTTTTCGTTTTTTACATCTAATGCTGTTATTTTTAAAAAGTTATTAAATTAATATATATAACAAAAATATTAATAATTTTATTTTCTCATTTTTTACCTTTCTCGACAATTTCTCCAACAAATACTTTGGTAAAACCTGCAACAACAATTCCCATATTATGAGAACAAGGTTGACCTAAAATTTGACTTACCAACTAAATATATGTATGTACAAAATAAATAGCCATGTTCATTATTTACGATTAGTAATGATAAAAATAATAAATTATGTGTGTGTGTATATATATAAATATATATAATTATTACCCTTCTAACATTAGGTTTACTTAAAGCAGATCTTCTATAAACTTCATATCTTTTAAGTTGATCTTCTGAAAAATTATCCAATAATAATCTAAGAAGAAAGAGGAAACAAATTAGTAATAATAATAAATTAATAAAACGATTAATCAATTAAGATTCTTTGATACTTTAATTCTTCTTTCGTTCTAGTGTGCATTTGCCAATCAAATTCACCTGCTGCCCTAATTTCAGTATATTCTTCCGCATCATCTTCTTCTTCTTCAGCTTTATTATCGCTTGTTATTGGCGTGGAAGTAAATGGTGTAAGTGGGGTTGCTATGGTTGGAGATTTCGAAGCTTCAAAGATCAGATCATTCATTTTTTTTTCATTTGAGACCTTTTTCAATAAAACTGACCTATGAAATAATGAGAACTGCCTCGTTACACGAATTCGAGATACTATCTCTTAAACGGTCAAAGTATTCTTTAGTGGTAACACAAAATCACGATATTGCATTCTTATTGGCCAATTTAACGATCTGTAATGTAAAAATAGTCAATCGACCAGCTTTTAAAAAAGATTTTACGAAAATCACAAGGACAACAACCGAATTTTTATTCACAGATCAATTAGTTGAACCTTAAAGATCATTTTCGTATTAGGAAGTGATACCTTCATAAAAAGTTTTTTATAACAGAAAAAAATTTTCGGCCGAAAAACCGTTTAATATTAAGGGATAATAATAATATGCACAAAAATTGCTTTTGGATCTATATATTTCAAAAAATAATTATAATATAAAATACAAAGATAATTCCACAAGATATATATATATTTTTTGCAATAATTATAACAAGTTATAAAAAACAATCTTTCAAAGAATAAAAATTGTTTATTTTTATATTTTACAAAATAATTAATCTACCTACATCTTTTATTTATGATCAGATTAATAATATTGTTTCTCTTCTCAATTATATAATATTGTTGAGTGAATGAATGAAAGGTTGGTTAGTTGGTGGTCAGATAGATGAATAGATATAATTGGGAAAGAGGGGGTTGTTCATTTAATGATAATGCTATAGATTTGGCTGGATGGAGGGATGGGTCAGATAGAGTGATTGGGGGGGGGGAGATTGCATGTCTATAGTTATACATATTTATAAATTGATGATTGATTTGATGGTTTTAGTTGATTGATTGATGATAAGTTGATTGGTAGGTTATTAATTAATATGAATAATAGTAATGTATGTCAATTACATACACTAGGTGAAAAGTTGATTGAATGAATTGGTTGAATTGGTTAATTGAATTTATTTGATTTAATACTATATAAATATTTATTATATATATGTTATATATATATATATATATATATGTGATTTTATTGTTTGTTTGTTTATTAGTTGATTGATTTATCAATTGAAAACTCTTGGCAACTTAATTCCAAATCAACTATTAGAAAGGAGAAAAAAATTAGATTATTATCAATAAATATCACTAATTACATAATTGATTTAATAATAATAATAATTACCAATAATGCTTCTTCGTGTTTAATTATAACATAAGCAAGTATGAAAATAAAAATTTGCAATCATAATTATAGAGGCAACTACATAAATAAACGTTGCAACTTTATTACCTAAAAAAAAATTGAATATTAATATTGATTAATATTATCATTTATATGATTACTTACTCCCCCTCCCCCCATAAAGCTAAACCGATTGTTGGTATTACTATGATTGAACCAAATAAAAAAACTTAAAGAATTTGAAATCCCATCAATAAAAATTGAAAATCATTACTTTTTTAAGTAAATAAATAATAAATTAACGCACACAATTTTGAGTTTAACACAACTGCTATGCTGCAACCTACTGACTGATGCAGAAATAATTTACTCATTCAAAGTACGTATTAGATATTTATTCTAACTTACATGCTTTAAGCCTCATTATAGAAAATTACTTGTTGAAAACAGAAATCAATCAATGCTTATGATATACACCAAAACCTTTTGGACCATTAAAAATTTCAAATGCAATCACACTTTGTTCAAAGAGTATGAAAAATTGTTCAAGAACTTCAATGTACAATCTGCCCTTGTTTCAACGAAGTGGCTGGACATATAAGAAAATTTTATTCGATATTCGTTGAAGCAAGGTTACTAATCGCGTTTCAACGAATTTTTATGTTTTCATAATGTGTAACAACGTTTTTAAAAATTCGTTGTATCAAAAATTTAATTATACTTCGTTGAAACAAGGGTTCACTGTATTTGGGTCTCCTTCATATTATTGTCGTTATTGTGTGACCTCTTATTTTTTTAATGCTATTGCTACCACCATTATCACCATCATTAGCACGTTATTATTAATATTATTATTGATTTTAGCAGTTGTAGTGGCGGTGACGGTACCTGGTAACAAATATTCTAATGCTTGCTTATTTTATAGCTCCGACCAAATTATTTTCTTTTTATTATTTGCTTCTTTTTTTGTGAATTTTCCATCCACTATTTATTACTATTAATTAATAAATATTAAAATATTAAAATTGGAAATTTATTATTAAAATAGTCAATAATTGGTAATTTAAGTATTCTATGTATTAAATACAAATTATTACATCTATATTTTTTTATACATAAATGATTTTCAAAAAGTATTTTATATTATTTTATTTATTAAATTCTTAACTAAAAGTAAATTAATATGTAAATTAACCAAAGGTTTGTGAAACCCTTTGATGTCTTTTTACACGACTTAAACGCCATTCATTTGGTTTTTCGAATTTATTATATAATGGTTGAATCTTTTCACTTCTCTTTCTCTTACTAATAGTATTAGCATCAGCCACTTTAAAGAAAGTTGGTGCAGCTTCAGTAAGCCATTTTGGTTCAATTGCTGTAACTTCTCTCATGTATTCTTTAGTTGTAAATACAAGTTCATGATAAATTACCCTAAAATATTTTAATTTGTTAATTATATATACATATGAATAATTGCTAAATAAATTAATAAATTTGCATGTATAACAAACACTAACCATTCTGGTCCTTTATTAAATAATGAACTTGAAGGATGGATATATACTGGAGTGCCCTCTACTAAAGTCTTGTAACCCTCTTGTGGATCTTTTTTAGCTGCATGCCTAAAAAATCCGCCACAGATCGCTCTACGAACTTTATTATAATTTTTACCACACGAAATAATGTCTTGTTTATACCGATCCATGATACCTAATAATTGTTTACGAATATCTTGACACCTCTTCATACTACGCCCTTGAATAAAATTCTCAAAACACCATGGATTGGAAAATTTATTTGCTTTCCATGCATTATAAACAGTAAGTAATGTAAGGTGATCGCCCTCGGGTTGATGGAATTTTGCTTTTTTCTGATCAGCGAGTGCTTGTTTATCTTTTGGCCTATAAAAAACATTTTGTACGGAAAGCATTGCAACAATAGTAAGGACTTCTTCTGAGCATCCTAAATCAACAGATAAAATCAACATTTTAGAAAGTGGCGGCTCCAATGGAAACTCTGCCATTTTACGTCCTAATCTTGTCAAAAGTCCCTCATCATCCAGTGCAGAAAGTGCATATAATTGTTCTAATGCTGTGAAAAGTGTTTGAGAGGGTGGTGGATCCATAAAATCAAAATTTATTAAATCATTGATACCCATAGCCTTCAGTGTCAATACTGTATTTGCAAGGTTAGTGCGCTGAATCTCAGGTATTGGATTTGGAAGCATTTCATTACGATATGCAGCTTCAGTGTAAAGACGATAGCATCTATTAAAGATATTAATTTTTTTCCATTAATAAACTGTATACAATAATCGATTATAGAAATAATTTATACTAATTAATCTAATTAAGACTTACTTTCCAGGCCCTGTACGCCCTGCACGGCCAGAACGTTGACGTGCTTGAGCTTGTGATATAGGCTAAATATATATTAGAAAAAAATAAAATTGAGTAAATAAGAAATAAGATAAGATAAACTTGTCAAAAAAAAAAATCATTACGTACTGTTACAACTAAAGAATCCATTCCTATCTTTGGATCATATGCATTTTGTTTTACAAAACCAGGATCAATAACATAGTATATACCATCAATTGTCAGTGAAGTCTCTGCAATATTAGTAGCAATTACAACTTTTCTACTGCCAGGTGGTGCAGGTTCAAAAATACGTGATTGCATTTCACTCGGTAAAGCAGAATATACTGGCAAAATAACTAAATCAGGGACTTGTGGTCCAAGTTCTTTCATACGTTCATATAATATTTCGCAAGCTGTATCGATTTCTTCCTGACCAGTCAAAAAAAGCAGAATATCACCTGGTGGTTCAGAAAGATGTATTTGCATCACTGTAATCAAAGAAGCATCCAAATAATCTGATTCAGGTTCTTTTGTATAAAGTATTTCAACGGGAAACATACGACCAGGAATACTGAAAATGGGACAATCATAGAAATATTTCGAAAACTTTTCTGCGTTAAGAGTGGCTGATGTTACTATTACCCTAAGCTCTGGCCTTGTTTTCAAAGTCGCTAAAAATTATTTAAATTCGTTAAAACATAATTCAACAAATAATTTGTAAACACATGATATAATTAACCTAATTACTTTTTAAAAGACCAAATAATACATCAGTATGTATGGTTCTTTCGTGAGCTTCATCAAGAATAATAACTGAATATTGTCTTAATTCAGGATCTAACAAACATTCTCTCAACAGCATACCATCCGTCATATATTTTATTTTGGTAGTGGGACTTGTACAATCTTCAAAACGAATGGTATATCCAACCTCCTCACCTAAACGACAACCAACTTCTTCAGCCACACGTTTTGCAACAGACATTGCAGCAACACGACGAGGTTGAGTACATCCAATTTTACCAGTTTCAGCGAAACCCTCTTCTGCGAGGTATTGGGTCATTTGTGTAGTTTTTCCTGACCCTGTATCACCTACAATAATCAATTGTTGATTCTGAATAAATAATTGTTTTAAAAAAAAGATGGTCAGAATAAATTTACAAATATAATCATATAAAAATTCATGATTTTCAAATAAATTTTCAATGAAACTTACTTCTCTTATTGCTTTGATTAACAACGAACGCATTTGATATATTGGCAAACTTTTCCTTTGCTCCTGAATACTCAAAGATGTTACCTTGCCAAAACTTGTAGCCTTATTAAATGTTTCTTTTTTCCACTCTGGAACTTCGCCAGCTTTTCTACCAGCTGCAATACCTCTTAAATCTTGTGCAAAATGACGTTCACCTGGTTCAGGCATAGGGTCTAACCAAGGAAGATTGATGTCTTTTGGAACCGAATCCAATTCTGCATTTGTTTGTTGTTGACTATTTTAAGATATATATTAAAAAGGTATTATTATTATAAACAATTTAAAATGAAATAATAATAACAATAGTAATAATAATAATAATTTATATTATCATATCAAGCAATATAAATAAATTTATACCGTAATTCTTTACGCTCTTTAGCAAGACTTGTACCTGCAAGAGCGGCACGATTTAATGTACCATCAGGTGCCTTAACAACCTTTATAGGACTTAGTTGCAACAAATTTTTAGCTTGACCTCTTAAGAATGGTGGCTCTTCTTCTCGAATTTCAATATCAAGTTCTTCTTCAGTTTCCATATTCTCAAAGATACCTTCATTTTCTTCATCATAATTTGGTAATTCTGATGCATTCAGGACACCAGATGAAATAAGTTGCTTTAATTCCCAAAGTTCAGGAGATGTAAGACGCTTCAATTTGCTTGATCCCTCATTATCATCAACAATAGGAACTTTTCCAAATGAAAAAGATTCAGCGTTATGTAAAGACTCTTCGGCAAGTTCCTGTTGAAAAAAATGAAAACGCATAAATATATACGAATGTTTAATCTGAAAACAAGTAATAATGGTAATAATTTTATTTTTACCTCTTCGGTTTTTATACGTAAATGTGGAGTCAAATCTTGACCAGTAATTTGGTCCACATCTTTCATGGACAAACTAATTCTTGAAGCAGCCACAGACATCACTTTCACTTTCACTTGTTGGTTTCGTGATACAACTTCGGTGGGATGAGAAACCCTTCTACCTGCTACTAGCATAGACACATGAACCATGCCTTTTGGTTTAATTTAATAAACGTTGGTTATTAGGCAAAGAAAATTTATATGTGCATGTATATGACTATATATATATACGTGCTGTAAAATTATGTCATTATTATATATATATATATATATATATTTCTTACCTTCAACTCTTCCTTTAACACCCTCCAACCCTATAAAAGCGCCAAAATCTTTGATATTTGTCACTTTACCATTATATATTTTATAAAGTACCGGTTTTTCGTCTAATTCTTTGACATATGATTTATTGCTATTTTTTCCTCCGTCATAATTCCTTTTGTAGTCACTATTTTTTTCTCTATCATAACTTCTTTTATAGTCACCATTTTTTTCTCTGTCATAACTTCTTCTTTTATGATCATCATTTTTTTCTCTGTCGTAACTTCTTTTATAGTCATCATTTTTTTCTCTTTCACTTCGCCTTCTATTATCATGCATTCTGTCATCATCATAATCATCATCTCTTCCCCTATAACGTCTCTTGTAATCATCATAACTGCTTCTATCATAATTATCATAATTATCATAATCTTTTTCTATATGGCGTCTTTTTTTGATATTATCTACTACTCTTTCTATGTCATCATCATTATTATTATCAACCCACTTTTTTCTTTTTTCATCATGTATTATTTTATCATGATCATCGGCTGTCGTTATTTTATCAATTATAGGGGGGGTTTTTTTTGATTCATTTGTAACCATTTTTTTATTATCTGGGCTTTTATTTTCTACATCTTTGTTATTATTATTATTATTATTATTATTATTATTATTATTATAATTATAATCATCATCACCATTTAATACTTTTCCCTTTTCTTTTTCCTTAGATTTATATTTTGGATTCATTTTTCGGATCAAACGATCCAGAGTGGTAATAAAAGATTCTTGGAAATCTGCATCTGCATCTTTCAAAGCCTTTTGAAATTTTGGTAGAATTTGATTTTGTTCGTGTAAATTAATTATAAATTCAGCTATAATAATAATAGTAAAGTATTTTTGTGTTTAGAAGAGAGTATAAATGAATAAATATATATTATTTTTAAAGATTAATTAAAAAAAATAACTTGCCTAGAATTTTATCATTTAAACCAGTATGATTAAATATTTCACTGGTAATTTTTGATACCATTGAAAGGTATTCGAGCTTTTGAATTTCGTCAAGATCTTCCATTTTTATTTTTGTTATATTTATTAACAAAAGTTTTTTTTTATAGTCAACTTATTTTTACTGGTTACACTAAATCGGGAAAATCTAATTAAGTTTTTAAAAATAAAATTTTTGCCGATCTTTTTTTAATTTTTTAACCAAATATTAATTGAACATGCAAGTGACAAGGAAGAGAAACCAGGCATTCATTAATTTAATTTATTAGAAACGTTATTTTGTGTGGTTTTGAAGAATATATATACGTATTTACTAATGATGCTGTCAGATTTGCAGAAATTGTAGAGCTGTCATGCTATTTCCAACAAAGTGTCAAGATCTATAAAATGATTGACAAATCTAATTGGGATCTGATCAATATGACGAGGCAAGCTTCTAATTTAAATGATTCAGTCAGATACATGTGTTAAATTTGATTTTTTAATATTAATAAATATATTATATGATATATTGATAAGTACATCTATCACTTCAATTTGTTAATGCTATAAAAAATGAAAACATTGATTTGAAAAGGCAAGAAATAAATAGCACTGCCATTGTGGATTATTAAAAATTACATTTTTTTAGTGTGCATATTTTACATCCAATTTCAAATGAAAAAAAAATCCAAAGATATGATAATTGTGAGAAGCTATTACCTTTATATAATATCACTATTAAATATATTTTCATTTCTCAAGATATTTATATCACAACTATAATAGCCAAATAAATAATAAATCTATAAATTTATTCCATAATAAAGTATTTATCCTGCTTATTAATTGAAACTTTCTTTCTCAAAATAAAAAAAGAAAACAATGTAGCAAATTGATTGGTGGAAAAAAGGCATTTTTATGGATTGTTTTAGATATGTTTTATCCCATACTTAGTTGTGGCTTATTAGGTAACCAATAAATAAATAAATAAGGATTCATCTTTCTATTTAATTGTGCCCCATATATTCAAAAACCCATTAGAAATGAGCACGAAAACATTTTCAATTAATTATTATTCATATGATTATATTTTTTATGTATTGGCTTTCACTTCTAATTTTTTCAATAAACTTTTAAGACTTTTTCCAGATTTTTCACAATTCTCTACCAAATAATTTTCAAATTCTTTCCGAATTTCTTTCAATTCTAACAACAAATCACCATCATCATTATCAATGGATCTTAGCAATGAAGAAGAATTTAATAAAATATCAAATAATCTTTTCCATAAATCCACTTGCCAATATCTTTTGAATGGCAACATTGGCCTATATCGTATTTTTTTTGATAGTGATGACAATGATGATGATGATGACTTGTTACTATTACTATTATCAATATTACAATCATAACCATCATTATTTATGTGAGTTTGAGTGACTTGTAAGTATTCATTATGTAGCATACAATATATCACACCAGCTAATCCATAATAATCAGCTTGCCATTTCCATGGTCTTCCTTCACGCATTTCAACACAATCTTCTTCATCAGTCTTCCAATCTGCAATAAATTTCATATTGGGTGGGAACAATGTAACATCAATTGAACGCCCAAAGTCAATCAATTTTATTCCTTTTTTTGACCAACCATTTTCACCAAATGGATTATATTGTGAATCCCATTTGTTGCTATTATTATTATCTTCTGATGACAATGATTCTAATCTCAAAAGACAATTGTCAACCTTTATATCACAATGTATTATCCCAACTTTATGAATTGATTCAATCACCTTGAGTAGTTCTATTGTAAAAAAAATTACCAGAATTTCATCTATTTGTGAATTATCTTTTTTTAAGTTGTTGATAAGATCTAATAATGATCCATGATTGCAATATTCTGTCAATAAGTAACTTTCATTTTTATAATAACATAATGAAAAAACTTTTATTATTGAATTAACTGTTGTTACTGCTGCTGTTGTTGATAAGAGTCTTTGATGTAATTGTTTAATTATGTAGAATTCCCAAGAACTAGGTGGTATTTGAATTTTCAATGCTATTGAGGCATTAACATTATTGTTTTTTTTGTTATTAATATTGATGCCACTTTCAATAAATTTTTTTTTATCAAGAACACGATACACTTTTCCATATGAGCCCTCACCAATTTTATTACAAACTATAAAAGTTTTATCTAAAATTTGAATTGAATTATCATCAATTTCTGACGAATAACACCCTATTGTTGTTGTGTTATCATTGATATTATTAATAGCATGACGAGATTGAGGTTTATTCTGTCGTAAAATTCGTAAGATTTTTTCATGTTGATTTGAATTCTGGTTTCTTAGGTCATGGTATTCAGGATAATCATTCAAAAAATTGTTTAATGAATTCAAAATATTTTCTATTAGATTTTGATTTAAAGGTTTACAAGGATTTGATGGAATTGGAAATAATAATAATTTATTTGTGTTGACTTTTTTTTCGTTGAAGTTTTTTAGTGAAGGTGAAGTAATTAGATTAAAATATTTATTGTTATAGTTGTTGTTGCATTTGATGTCCTTTTCATCCATTATTATTTTAGTAGCAACAGTAGTAGTAGATTGATGACAATAATGATGAAATGTGCTAGCGGCAGAAACAGATGGACTACCATTCTCATGATTGTGATTGTAATTGTAATTGTTATACTGACAAGAGGAAATTCTATTATCGTTATTAATATTTTTGAATATAGTGGTTTTTGATTGCTTCAGATTTGTTTTTTGTATTATGTTATCATTTTTTATTGATTTATTATTATTATCATTGTTATTATATTCATGAAATTTTTCATAAGATAAGAACATTTCCATCATATCTGATAATTCTAAATTGTTGTTTATTTTAGTTTTAGTTGTAGAAGGTATTATCGTTCCGATGATTTCTTTAGACTTTATGTCTAATATGAATTAATCAATAAAATAAATATTAAATTTATACACTAGAAATAATAATAATGAGGATAAATATATATATATATATATATATAATACTCTCTATTTATACCACTAAATGACATTTTATTAATTTCCAAACTTTGTTTAGTAACAATTATTTTTTTATTGGAATTTTCTTTTGATTTTTCAATTTCTTTGCCGGTGAAAATTGTTTTCATAATATCGTCATCATCATAATTATTATTATGAACAATTACTTGATCTTTTTCATCTTTTCCTAATGGTAACAATCCTAAAGTTTTTGCTCGAAGTTCTTCAAAAGATATCTCATAATTAGAAGAATAAAAAAGATCTAAATTAACAAATAAATTTTCTTTTCGTTTTTTTTCTTTATGACGATGACGAGAAGAAGATTTCGAATGCGTCGTTGTCGTTGTTGTTGTCGTCGATACATGATGACGATGATGATGATGATGATGGTGTTTATGACTTTTTTTTATATTCACAAGAGGAGAGAAAGAAGAAGGAATGTTTTGTATCTGTGAATTATGTAAAGGATTTTTTTCTTGGTTAGCATTAGTAGTATCAAAAAATGAAGAAGTATTTAACGACATCTTGAATAATTTTTTTATAAAAATGAAAAATGATCTATTTATGATTATTTTTTTAGGGGCTATCACATGATTAATCAGCACCAATTTTTTTTTAAATATTAATTAATGTAATTAATGTTAATATGTCTGATGATAATAACAACAATCTTTCTTGGGTACTTTATGGTATAGGAGACATTAAATTAGAGAATAGAAAAAGAATTGAACCAAAGCCCAATGAAGTAGAAGTATCAATAAAAGCTACTGGGATTTGTGGTTCTGATGGTACTTTAATATATTGCGTGTGTAAAAGTGTATAAAATAATTAAATAATCATTACCACTTATCACATCATATTTTATCTTCATATATATAATTTAGTTCATTATTGGTCGCACGGACATATAGGAAATTGGATAGTTAAAGAACCAATGGTACTAGGACATGAATCATGTGGAAAAGTTACAAAAGTAGGAAAAGATTGTAAAATTTTAAAGGTTGGTGATAGCGTAGCAATTGAACCAGGAGTACCATGCCATACTTGTGAATTTTGTAAAAAGGGAAGTTATAATTTATGTAAAGATATGAAATTTGCAGCAACTCCACCATATGATGGTACATTATGTCAATATTATTGTACTGCTGAAGATTTTTGTGTGAAATTGATAGAAAATGATGAAAATGTAAATTTGGAAGAGGCAGCAGCACTTATAGAACCATTATCTGTGGGAGTACATGCTTGTAAACAAGCAGATTTGCGAGTTGGACAATCTGTGATAATATTTGGAGCAGGACCTGTTGGATTATTGACAGCAGCTGTTGCAAAAGCTTCAGGATCTGTAAAAATTACAATGTTTGATATAAATCAAAATAGGTTAAACTTTGCCAAGAATTATATAGCTAATCAAACCATTTTAATTGATGATAATAATATTAAAAATGGCAACAATATTGATTATTGGAAAAAATATTCCAAAGATTTGGTTGATTTTGGAGGTGTTGAACAAGCAGATGTGGTATTTGAATGTTCAGGAGCTGAAACTTCAATTCAAACTGGAATATTTGTAAGCAATAAATATTATTATTATTATTATTATTATTTATTATTTATTATTATTATTATTGTTATTGTTGTAACTATTATTATAATGACAATGAATATTCTTTCTTTTCTAGATGACTAAATCAGGCGGAACATTTGTCCAAGTCGGAATGGGTAATGACAAAGTCACCATTCCGATTACAGATATTGGAGTTAGGGAAATTACAATAAAAGGGACATTTAGATATTGTAATACGTATAAGAAAGCAATCGATATGGTAACAGCTGGATTGATCGATTTGAAACCTTTGATTACTCATCGATTCAAATTTGAGGACGCATTGAAAGCTTTCGAAATTGTCAAAGATGGTAAATATGGTGTAATTAAAGCATTAATTTTGGGGAAGGAATGATGATAATAATAATAATAGTGTGTGTGTGTGTGTGGTACGTTAGTGAATAATTAGAAAGAAAATAATTATTTATTGTTTATAAACAAAGAAAAAAGGTACAAATAAAAATGCAAAAACGCAAAAATAAAAATAAAAGGGTTCTAATTAATGATGACAGATCACGTTGTAGAAATGTTATTGGCTATTATAAAAGCACCTGTTACACTATGTACAACACAAACATCTTTGAAAAAAAAATAGAATGAAAATGAATTAGCTTTTGGGAATATGCCACGATCACGTTACGAGAATATTTTATATAGTTGAAAAAATCTCCATTAAAATTTCAACCTGGGCATCACCCAAGGTTAACGTTTGTGATGTATTTTTTACATCCTTCGCGTTTAACTTTATTTTTTAAAAAAAAATCACTTCCCCAATTTAACGAGTATTTTTATTAAAGAATAATTTTATAAAAAAAAAAAGTAATTAAAAAAAAATTTTTTTAGAATTAATTTAAAGAAGAGAGGTAATTAAAGTTTTTTTTACGCGTAAAAACTCGAATGGTTGAATTAACTCCCAACAATACGTTACACATACACGCCATATTGCAACATAACTTAATATTAATATTAATATTAAATGCGGAGGAAAAAAACAACAACTATATGATTATGCAATTTTTTGTTTTTATTTACTAAATGTAGAAGAATATATATATATTTGTGTACAAAAAAATATTTCACGTGCATTTTTAATAGTACAAAATCGAGAAAACAACAAATAAAGTATGTAATAAATTACATAATAAGACAGTTAATTTTTTATTATTATTACATCATCATCTTGACAATAAAACAAATAAATAGTGCACATTATTTGATAATTTACCAAAACATGAACCATTGACCCAAAATTGCGATTTAGATTTTTAGATAAATAAATGACGTGGTCTAGGCGTCTGATTTATTATTTTGGTTATTTTCAATCTATACACCATCATCGTTAATATATATAAATATAGATAATAATAAAATGTTTCAAATATATATTTATATATATATACATATATATTTTAAATCAGAGAGCAGGGCATGATACTCGAATTAACCAGAAAAGACCCGGATTTTACTTATCAGCCGAATATGTGTGTTTAATTTGAAATAGTATGAAAGTGATTGATGATAGGTCGTTTATTAGTTAGTTTTTTTAAAGAAACAGACAACATGAGTGTGAGGAAAGATAACTGGGGGAAGGATGATTGGATGAGGGGAGAAAGAATAAATCACACATAAATCACGAGATGACAAACTTGCTTTAGTCTTGTAGAAAGTCTTTACCATGATTACAAGTAAATTAAATTATCATTCAATACTTTTAGAACCAATCCAAATTCTTCATTTATAATAAAAGTTTTTATTTTTATTGTTTGTTTGATTATGAAAAAATTATTAAGGAATTGATAATAATAAGGGGAAAAAGATTTCAGATGAACATTTATGAATTAAAAACAAAATCTTTGTCACATTAATCATATTGGTGATACATTTACTCAATTATAATATTATATATATATAATTCTACAGAACCAATCATGTCACGTCAATTCATTATTATTATCATTCTGGCAGAAAAAAAAAAGTGGAAAGCATGATTTTTTTGGTAGATCATCTATAAAAATGGTCATAAATGTATAATACATTAACGTTGAAGATCACAACCTCGTGTAACATGCAGAGAATAAACATTTCATTCACATTTCACATGATGCATATAACTTTCTGTGTGGGGAAATAAGCAATATATGATAATTATGATTATGATTATGATGACGATAATGATAAATGATTGTGATTATTATTATTAAAAATCTCCATAATAAAACAATAAATGATTTTTATAATTAGAAAATGCGTGTATAGTAAAAATTATAAGATCAAAAAGAAAATACTATAAAGTCAACTTGTTGTGGCAGGAAAGAATTTATTTTATGAGAACAAATATTTAAAAAACTTTGAAGATCAATTAAATTAAAATAGTTTTAGTTTTGTTTTGTTTTTTTTTGTTTGTTAATAAAATCTATTATTAAACTTTTTAAAACAATGGTTTTCTTCGATTAGAAAATCTTTAAAGAAATTCAATGCATAAATTTACGTTAGATAATAATATTATATTAATATATGTAAGCGTGTTATTATAGGTGGGAGCTCAAATGTTTGCGTAATAATGTATTCATTTAGGAAATAATTATAATTATATTTAGTGTTTGCAGGATGAAGGGGTATGTCAATGAACTTTAATTAATTGGAGTTAATATTATAATAATAATTTGCTTGAGTTTTATATTTTTCGGAAGTTATAACAATCTTAAAATGGGGAAGTTAATAATAATGTAAATGGAATTAAATTTTAGAAGATAGAATTAATGATTTCTGGGAGAAAGTGAATGAATGAATTAATTAATTAACGAATGAATAGATAAATGAATGGATAATCGAATTGATTGATGACTTTGATAAATAATCGAAGGATTTATTGCGTTGTATGAGACAGAGAATGTGGATGAATAAAAAATAATAAATGATAGTAGTAATTAGTATTGATCCTGACTAATTTCTTGGGTCACACACACACTTCCACACGCTTCTACAAGGATTATTACGATGATATAGTCTTAATTTTGATTATAACGAAGAGAAAAGATATTAAAATTAAATAATTAAATAAATTTATTTTCTTTGTTGTTTGAAACAAATCATTTATTATTTTATTTTAGTGGGATGATCGATTTACAATTAAATTAGCGTTGTTTGTATATTTGTATATAAAAAAATTAATTACGTGACACAACATGCGCAAGAAAATCCGTTTAAATAATGAATTTTGTAATAGTAAAAGTATTACATTTCTTCATTCAAAAAATTAATCACTTCACTTTAAATCTTCTATTCATCAAATACAAATTCCTAATTTGCTTTAACGTTTTCTTTATTTAGTTAATATGGTATTCTAATTTTATTTTAATAATCACGTTACATAAATTTATTTATATAGTTTTTTTTAATATTATATAATAATATTAAGTAATAAATATCTGATAAATGAATTCATATTCGGTTTAAACTAATAATTAAGCTTCATATACTTATATATAAGTTTAATTGCATTATTTTACACACGCGTGCACATTATTAGTAGATATGTTGTTGGTTATTATGCAGATTAAAATAAAATGCATATGTATATAATAATTAAATACTTTGAATTTTATTTTGTTTTACTTTAAGATAAATATATATATATGAATTATATGAATTAAATTATATAAAAAAATAACGTTTAAAAAAAAAACCGGCTCCATTTAACGTTCAAAAAAAAAACCGGCTCCACTTAACGTTTAAAAAAAAAAAATAATAAATAAAAGGAATAATTTTATTAATATTTTTTTTATTTTATTATCATTTCAAAACAAACAAATATTTATGTTTTTTTTTTATCCTCGCTTCATCAGAAAATAAAAGTTATTTATCATACAACCATTATCCATTTATTCATATCTATATTTTTTTGGTTTTAAATAAAATTTT